ATGTATATATTGCATAAATTATCATTCTATCTGTGGTAATTCTTCCAAGAAACGTTTGCGACGCATTTGGCCAGCTTTGACCAACTGAATCAAGTTGGCCGCGAGGCAGCATGCCATAAATTGTTAGCCAGTTGCAGCAGCAGGCAGCAAGCAAGCAAGCAACAACAACACTGGCAACAGGCAATGCAACACCTAATGAATTGTTAACTGCCTGGCAACATGTTGGCCACAGTTGGGCACACACGTGAAGCTTTTGTCGTTGGTTATTGCCAAATGGCCAAATTGCAGGCAATGCGCCAATGACAATAACAATAACCATATTGACTTGTATAAAGCAACAAACAAAACAACAACAACCGCAATATACACGATTCCAAATGCCGTCCACTCAAAGGAAACCTTTTGCCAACTAACTGTAAGGCAAGGGGGGAGGTAGGGAGGCTAGTTACAGGGTATTTTTTAGTGGGTTCAAGCGGCATGTCAACCTCAGCCACAAAGCGACCACAAACAGACAACAACAACAACGACGACGACGACGACGACAACTTGTGGCCCACCTAGATAACCAGAGCAGCAAGCCAGCAACTGCGGCAGAGGCAGCAGGGGCCGGGGCAGCCAACAAAGACAATGAATTGTTAATTTTTTTGCTTTTGCTATTTGTGGTCGCTCGAGCTAGTTTTTGGTCAGCAATCGCAATGAGCCTGAAGAGGAGAAGAAAGGGTATGAAGCAGCAGCAGCAGCAGCAGAAGTGGGAAGCAGAAGGTGACAGCAGGAGTATGCTCTTAAATAGCAGGGTATCGAATCGACTAATGAAATGAGAAATCCCCTATAGCAGCATAAAAAGGACCAGAATGAAGAACGGAGAAGGAATTCTGTAAAGTCAACTCTGAAGAGCAGCGAACGATGAGCAAGTAAATGAGAGGAGACTAGAAGGAACATGACAATATGTGGAACAGTCGGCTGTAAATTTATGAAAATGGAACAGCAGATGCTATAAGGCATAGCTTAAGAGGGAAGATAATGGCAATGAAACAGAGAAGTTTAGAATGGAAAGAAACATATTGAATAGTAAACAGAGTCAAGTCAACAATTGCATTTGCCTATACTCTATTCTCTCTACTCTAGTCCAACTCAAACTACCCCATGTGTCAACCCACTCACACTCCAGGGTATCTCGGCAAAAAGAAGAAAAACATGTGCCAAATGTCAACTGAAAATGAAAACATTGCGAATTCTTAAGCCCACAGACATTCGTGGCCTGCCTAGCCGCCCGCCCTGCCACACATGCAGCAACATGCCAAAAGGCAGCCACCGAGCCAAAGGGGAGACTTGCAGACTGTACAGATATTTGTAGCCATAAAGGTGGGAGGTGGGTGGCTGGCCGACGTTATATGGCGACATGGAGCAAGCAAAGCCACAGCAGGAGCGCGGCACCAGGAGGAGAGGGCGGGCATCAGCAAGCAGCAGAAACAAAAGGCGCGCATTTTGCTCTTTCTCGATTTTTTTTTGCTTAGTCTGATAGCTGTTAGCTGTTGGCGCAGAGCAATTAGAGAATTGGCCCCATGGCAAACCCACATGTAGCAGCGGAAAAACGAAAGTTATCGAGCAGCGTGGACAAATGTTGAACACATGCAAACAGACGCCCCAAAACGAGCACCTGACTACTGCAGTCAACACACCCCCTCCCGCTTCCTCCCCCATCCCAATCTTTTTGCTAACTGCCTGCTAATCGGCAAGTTTTTCTTTTTTTTTTGTGTGTGTTTTGTTCAACTCGGCTGTCCAGCCGAAGCAAATTTGTCTTTACAATTTATAAACACATTTTTGGGGTTCCACATGCTCCACTCATGATAAATGTGTCGTGTTTTCGTGGTTCGAACAAGTTGCCATTTATTCTCGAGTCTATTTAAAAATGAACTAGGAAAAACCAGCTAGTGAGCAGCTCCTCCCAATTGGGGGCAGCAGTTTGGCCACAGATCAGCCACGCCCCGCCACGCTGTCTGTCCGAAAGGGAAGTCGTTTGTTATGAACCGACGACAGGTGGCGCGGCTGTAAACAACTCCCGAAACTAAGTCCAAAACAAGCTACCAAATTAGCGCTCTCTGCGCAGGCGGGCATAAATTATGGCACAGAAAACGAGCGACAGAGCTGATTAGCCTACTGCTGGAATGTCTCCATCTCCGTTCCGAATGGGGGCCGGCTGGAAAATGGGATTGGGTAAGCCTGAGAGGGAGTTGAGTAACAATTGACTTGACGTCGACTTGGCAGTTTCTAAAGAAATGACAAATGTGTGGAACAGCATTGTTATCTACTTAGAAGAGGAAGAGTTGGAGGTGGCGGGAAATAAGTAGATAGAAAGGTAGGTAGATGTAGAGGTGAATGTAGAAAGGCGAGATAAAAGAGAGAGAATATAGAGGGAGATATGTTAAACAGAACAGAGATAAATTGAACAGAAATAGATATGAGACGAGTTGAATGAAGTCCAGAAGAAAGCGATAGAAAGAGAGAGAAAGCAAACACTCCATAGCACATTGAATTCCAGAGGATCTTCCCTTAGGAAGAAAGATTGAGCTGTACATAGGAGAAGACAGAAAGGGAAATGAACTCGAATAGTAAAAGAATGATATAGAGATGAATCAGAGTAACATGAGTCGAATCTCATCTCAACTGCAGCTCTTTCTGTTCCCCAATACACACACACACACACTCTCTCTCTCGGCTCCACTAGCCCCATTGGCGTTGCCTTGACCCAAATACCCAGTTAACAGCATTTTCGGTTAACCCATTTCAATGTCAAGTGCATTGTGCATCAATGCAAACACCATTATCGTGTTGGCCATTAGCTGGCTGGCTGGCTAACTGAGCCCCATTGTTGCCACGGACAAGCTGTATTAAAAACAAATTACAAAGTTAACCAAACTCACATTAACTCCAAAAGTGTGAAAAGTGACCAAAATGTGGTTGTTGCTGCAATCGATGTTGTTGTTGCTGTTGTTGGCTCCACTCCAAAGCAAATGTTGTCGGTTGCCTTTCAATTCACTTTCTGCAATGAGAAAAGCGTGAAATGCGTGTTAAAACGATGGAAAATGGCAAACAAATATGCATAGATTATGTGGAAATGTGCGCAAAAGATGAAAATCGAATGGAGCGGAAGCAAGCTGAGCCCAAATGACAACAAATGTAAATTGTTCACGTGATTTTATTAGCACTTGAGCCTGAGCCATGCCAATTGCATAAGCCAGCCAATTGCAGCAGCCAGCCGGGCTGGCAAAAGGCAAAGACTGAGCCATAAACTGGGGAAAACTTTTACCCATTGGCTGCGTCAACATTTGTTTAGCAACATTTTTATGGCAACCTTTCGCTCGAATGATAAATCAACCTCAATCTCCCGATTCCAACTCCCACAACAACAACAACAACAATAACGAAAATAAACATAATTCCTCAAAAGAAAACGTCGCACGACATTTGCCTGCCGCTAAATAATTTCCATTGCTTTAGTTTAAAGTTTTCCTCGGTTTTTCCTCTCGTTGTGGGCGTTTCTTTCGGGAGGAGCAGCAGGGGGAGGGGAATGCAAAGCTCAGCTTAACTCCGTTGGCCATAACAATTCATTATCATTAATTATATTTGCACTCCAGCATGAAAAATGCCCAGCGAGTCGATTAAATTGAAAACAATTTGCCCGCAAATTTCAATATTTCTTTCGTCGTTAGCCGTTAGGCCGAAAAAAAAAATGAAGAAAAGCACCGAAAACAAAACCCAAAATCGACCCCAAAAATATGGCCCATAAAGCATCAGCGGGCCAGAAATCAGCAACAACTCGCCAATAACAATTTATTGGCCATATTAACCCCAGCGAACTCTCTCACTTGTCGGCGATCGCAGGGGGCGTGCAGCAGGCGGTGCTTGGGGGGCGTGCAACTGCAACGGGGCCAACGCGATCGATGCGAGTTGTGAAAATATCATTTACGGCCAATTTGTAAAGCCAAAAAAAAATCCTACGATGACAGACAGAACTGCAACACGAATCTTAGATACCCTGATTTATAAGAAAGTTACATCCACGAAGGATTTTTAAGAAATGTACTATTGATATTTGAGATGGCATAGGAGAGAGTTTTGTATGATTTTTAAGAGTTTATAGTCGATTAATAACATATTGATATATCAAGATATTCATCATATCATAGTATGATATAGAATCATGGTATTTTTATCGTGATTTAGATGTAAGGATAAGGGACAAGGGGAGTATTAGTCCTATAATATGCTAGAGCACTGCATACATTAGAATATAGTATGGAATACTCTTGGTATAGTATCATCAGACATCAAAGTATATGTAGAGAAAGATGCGCATTATGTCAAGCCATAAAAATCGTAATAAAAACTTAAATAACAATTCAGCTGAATAATAAAAATGCAAAAATCATACTAAAAACGCTATTTAGATCTAAATTGATTTGATTGTTGCAGCTCAAAGCCAAGAAATAGTTGTAATGCCCATTGCTCAAATGGCCAATAAAAAAAACTGAAATCCCAGCGAAATTTTGCACGAACAACGCGCTGGCAAAACAAATCAACGTCGATTTACTCTGGCAACACCAACCAATGCCCTGTCTCTGTCTAGCCCCTTCTCTCTCTCTCTTTCTGGCTCTGTCTATCTAGCCTTAGCACTCTCGCTTTAGTTGGCCGCGCGCGCCGTGGTCAAGTTGAAGTCGGAAATGGGCACAATCGCCATCGCCGTCGATCGTCAGCGGTCAAACAGCAATTGGCCAAAGTTGGCTGCCAACCCGTAATGGCCAATTCGACGACGTCAACATCTTCGGGCGATAATTGGCTCCCTTTCCCAGCCAAGTTAACATTATGATTGGGGGAGGCTAAAGGCAGCAAGACTCTAAGAGAGAATCTCAACAATCTCAACAACTATTCTCAGCTTACATATATCAATTTATATATGCATTCCGCAGGTCTCAGCGCTTACAGATTTCGCATGAAAGATTTGATGTATGCGGGTAATATAAAAGATCGTGGGCTGTACAGTGCGTGTGTGGGAAACTCAGTTGTGTGTGGCATTCAATAGCTCTCAGGGGGCTTTTCAATCATTTCACTACTGAAGGCGTCAAAATAGCTCTTGCCTCGAAATTGGCCATTAAAAAGAGATTAGCCAGAAGATTGAATATAAATTGGCAATTGAATACAAATTGTAAATCAATTACCAAAACTTAGCTTAATAAATATATTAATAATATTTTATTTGGCATTAATATAATATTATTCATAATTGTAGTTGCAATAGTCCCCAGTAGATCCACTATTATCCACTACACATCTGTTAGGGTCTACCAAATACTGTTTGCCTAAATTCTAAGCACTTTGCACCTTCCCGATCTCAGCCAAGCAGCAATTCCCCTTCACCTACTGCATAATCAGCTCTCGGCTTTCACAGGCACAGCAACATTCGAGGCAAGCAAATGCAACCTCATATCGCTCAGCTAAGCTTTTGCGTACAAGCAAACAAAACGAAATTCAAGCCGTTCGCTGACTGCAGCAGAACGCGGAACCAAACTCGACAATGGCAGAATGTTCGCTCTGAGCCAGTATCAAGTGTGAGCGAAAAGAAATTAAATGTGTGTGTGTGTGTTTTTTTTTTTTTTTTGGCTGCCTGAGCACAAACAAATAAAGCCGAGCAACAACAGCTCGACTGACTGACATATAAGACTTGGGCATCATCAAAAAGCTGACAGACTGACAAATAAAACCTGGATATCAAGAAGACTCTCACGCCAGGTGTGAGGTGGACGTCAGGTGAGGGAAATGAATATGTTATTTCATGGTCAGTTAAAGAGCATGCAAAAAGCCAAAAGGCAATCTGGTAAAAGGAAATGCCAAAAGTGCGCTAATGAAAGTGAAAAGCGTCAAGAAGAAAAGTCAAAGCGTTGTCGATTTCGGCCCACTTGTCGTCGCTAGCAGCAGCAGCAGCAGTTGCAGCAGCAGCGCCAGAAAAAAATGCATTCGAAATGCAGTAGAAAGTGAAATGCGTTGGCAACACAAATGAAATGAAATAAAAACAACTTACAACAACAACAACAACAGCAGCAACAATATAAAAACCAATGCAAGAGCCAAAACAGCAAATGAGCCAAAAGATGCTGGAGAGATACGAGCAGCAACAGAGCCGAGGCAGAGGCAGGGCAGGACAGGCTACTGGGCGGTGGGGAAGAGACATTGTTAGTTGGGCAACTCTCTCACATGACCTTGTTACATTGCATTGAATCGCGCATGCGATATGCGAATTCTGTGACTGCTTTTGCCTTCAGCGCAGCCGAGGAGCACATAATCAAGAAATATTTGAGATTCACTTTCAGGAAAGAGCGCAGCGACGTGCGGGGGACACTCGCAGAAGACGCAACGCAACTAACAGGCCAAACGAAAGTCCAAAGCATAATAACAATGCACATGAGTGCGCATCGGTGAGTGCACGACTAGCATATGCCCTGCAAGCAATATGTGAAGCTTGTTGCTCTAATCAATATCAAAGAGGTTTCTCTAACTGATACAAAGAACTGCTAGAGTTCAGTTAATATATCTACTCTAGTTTCTCAAACGCCACTCTGCATATTCTATACACATTCAAGTTGCATACCCTCTCAATCACTTTCAATGCCTACAGGGTATACGAGCTATAGACAACTCATAGATAAAATATCTGTGGACTTCTCATTGACGAGTCTTGAAGTTGCAGTTGCAACTGAAGTGTGTGTGTGTGTGTGTGTCGTCGGCAGATGTGTGGGCTGCAGAAGCAAATGAAATGCCACAGATTCGTTTGATAAAATGGCAGGCGACAAGTTGAGAAAGAAAAAGTGACTCAGCGAGTGCCGGAGTAAAAGAGAGCGACGAGCGAGCGAGTGAGATAGGCAGCCAAACAGTAGTCAGCCCCTCCTTACGCCTCCCTCAACCCTCTCTCTCTCTCTTCGTATAGCTGTCAATGGAGCCATAGATAAATCTTTGAGTTGTCATTGCGGCGGTGGAATGTTTTTTCTTTCTTTCTTCATTTGATGAAGACAATAGTAAATGGCTAGCGGAAGATCTCAAGAGAAAAGCAAGAGTTGGATATTAAGAGGCACACAAAGAGAGAGAGAGAGAGAGAGAGAGAGAGAGAGAGAGAGAGAGCTCGTCATATTAGGCGCATAATTGGGCCACGGCAAACGCATTGAAATGTCTGTAATTGATATGTTTACAGCTTTATTAACGATGCCACCACAGTTGGGTTTTCGCTACTTTTGCTTGATTCAATTAAAATCACACCATGCTGTGCGTGTGCGTGTGTGTGTGTCAAGTTATAGAGACATGCAACAATTAGATGACTGATTTGTTTGGCATCAAAAACACTTTCGATTTCTTTGTGGCCATCAAGTAAGCCACATATGGCCGAGCAGATAAACAAGTCGAATCGCTAGCTTATCTAAAATTGCATCAAATGGGAGTTTACTTATCAAGCTTGAACTGCAATTTAAATTTAACAATAAGTTTTAGATTTAAGTTTGACGTCTTACGACTTTCCAAAATTGTTTGATAGAGTAGAGCTGCAAGACTTTCAAGTGCCTGACTCGAAGTTACACAGAGTATTCCAAGTATATTTAAGAAGTATTTTATCCTTGATATTTTTGTAACTCTCCTTAAATAAATTTACTCATTTATTTTTATACATTTTAAACTTCAACTCAGCATCTAAAACACTCTCCGCTAAAAAAGAAATCCAGTTTGTTTCCTTGAAAATTAAACGCATAACATTTTTTTTTTGTAGGTCGACTGATTACGTAAGAGTCCTCGTCAAGGCGTGTGAGCCATAAACTGGACGCGTAAACAACAATTTAGCTGGGTAGCTGATTGATTGAATGATGGATGGATGGAGCAGTCACAGTCCGCACTCTAGGCAGACGCACACAATTGGGTTGGCAGGGCAGGAACAGGATAGGAGATGGCAGACTTGAGCCAGTTGTTGGAATTCGGCTAATGGCATCGGCGAGATGTTTCTCTAAT